TTCATCATTCCTTTTTTTTGTTGGAGAGAACCAGAATCAATGAATCAACCAAAAGCATGTGTGATGATATGATATACAAATACATTAATCCACAAAATGATTAATTACATCCAGTGAGAGAGAGAGAGAAAAGATTAATGAATGGATAAATCAAATATTCCGTTTTGAATAATAAAATTTCGATAATGATGATGATCGAATATCATCATCATCATGCAAAAATTATTCTATTTACGGGCACATATTTTCTATTTTTGTTTAGAAAACACAAAAAAAAAAATCCAATGATTTATCATTGTTTCAATTGATTCTGTCATTCTGCATTGATACAAAAAATTGAAAACAAAAAATTCAATTAATCCAAACTCAAATCAAAACAACAACAACAACAACAACAACAAAAATCATCAATTTATAAAACAATAGAATTTCAACAGAGAGAAGAAAAATTCTCTCAACCGAAACACGTACATTCAATCATAATTTCAATCATGTTTTCTATAATGCACAATTCTTGTGAAGATTTTACCTTGAAAACAATAATTCATGTTTTCTATTTTCTATGGCGAAAACAAAACAATCAAATCAAAATCAAAATAATTTGAGAGAGAGAGAGAAATGAAAAAATCAAAATTTAATTTCTCCTCCTGTCACACAATATGTTATGATGACTATAGTTCAATTAAAAAATTCCAAAAACAAAGCACACACACACACACACATCATCGGAAAAAGACACAGACATAGATGTGTGTCACAGAATAATTTCTGGAAGTTTTTTTTTCGATGAAAAAAGAAAGAAATTTCCCAGTAAATTTCCTTGTTTTAATTAAAAATTCAAATTCAAATATATATATAAATGATGTGTGTGGTAAACCAACTAAAAAAAAAAAAACAGACAGACACAGAGAAGCGAATGAAATGTCTTTTTTTCAAAACGATTATCAGTTTGGTTCATCGCCATCATATTCATATCATTATCACAATCATCATCATCATCATCATCATATGGAGACTTTTATGAGATCAACACAAAGTGTGTGTGTGTGTGTGTGAGATAAAAAAAAATTGTATATGAATATATAGACACAGATTACATCGGTCGTTATTTTTTGCATTAAATTTCATTATTATTATCATCATCATAATCATGACTAAATTATCATCATGCATACATATAAATAGCGAGAGAGAGAGAGAGAGAGAGAATCATAACTTTTTTTTTGTTATTTTAAAAACACACACACACACATATACACACTTACAAACAACGTATAATATAATAATTCATGTTATTATTATTATTATACACCCTGTATTATAATAATAATCATCATTGAACAATCAGTAATTCATCATCATTTTCAAGCAACAAAAAAAAAAAAAAATTAAAAAGTTTGTGAAAAAAGAAATGGCTAAATGAAAAATGAATATATATACAATTATTATTATTATAATCAGGCCATCATATATGATGCCTATAATTGAATGGAATTTGAAAAACTCGCTGTTGTTGTTGTTGTTTTGTTCGTTTATTTTTTTTTGTTTTGTTTTGTTTCAATGTTTACCAAAGAATGAATGAATAAAACAAAAAAATGATGATGATGATGAGATGCGAAAAACTTTTCTTCTTCTTCTTCTGCCATGTTGTTGTTATTAAGGTTGTTGTTGTTGTTGTTGAATACAAAATGCTAATAATAATAAATAATAATGATAATAGCTGTGATATACGAAAAGAGAGAGAGAGAAGAGAAAAAAATTATGGATGTGAAGAGCATATAACAAGAAAAAGTTTATTTTTTTATATCAATGTAAACACACGCATATGAAAATTTACCAATTATTCATATGATAATCATCAACAACAACAACAACAACGACGAGACACACACACACACACACATACACAACCAAATAGTATATAGGCATTAATTAATCGATTAATCGTGAGATTGTTTACCAGTTTATCGTCACCATTTTTGTGATGTTTATATCTAAAAAAATTTTTTTTTCGTTCAAATTTTAATAATTTTTTTTCTTGTTTTGTTTGTTTTGTTTACAAGCTCCAAATATTTATCATCATGCAGATTGTTGTTGTTGATCGACGAAAAAAAAAAATTCATCGATGGCTTAAATTATCAACAACAACAACAAAAATAAACAAAAAAACAACAACAACACAACAGCGAATTTGAGTTTTTCTCTTCGAAATAAAAAACCATGGATAAAAAAACCAAAAAAAATTTTTTTGATTCTATTTATATGCCTTGTATTTGTAAGCAGAGAGAAAAGTCACCTGATTCAGTCGTTTATTTATTTGGCGATAAAATTCATTGAAAAAATTTTCATATCGAAATCAAAATCGAAAATTATTCATGAGCAAAAAAAATGATGGTGATGGTTCTTTTCTTTACGATCAGATTGTTGTTGTTATTTTCTTTTGAAATATGATAATTTTTTTTATATGAATAATAATCAAACTGATTGATCGATCGATCGATCAATTGATTGATTGATTTAGATGAAAATTCAATTAATTTTTTGGCCAACCAAACAAAAGAAACATCAAAAAAATGATTCTTTTAAACAAAAACAAAAACAACAACAAAAGAAAACAAATAACGATGCTGATGATGATGATGATGATGATAAAGTTATGTATTGATTCTAATCTTTATTGATCGAATATTGATGAAACGAGAGAAAAAAAAATCTTTTATCCATTGAATAATGATGATGATGATGATAATTTTTTTTCTGATAATAAACATTGTAATAATAATAATAATGAAATGCGTTAATGAATCAAATCAAATCAATCAGTCAATTTATTTGATGAACGATGATGATGATCGATATGCGAAGATCAATAAATGATGATGATCATCATCATCAAATGTAAATAAAAATTACTAGGGTATTAGGAGTTTTTTTTTTGGTTGTTGTTTACAACCAACAACCAACAATAATCATTGTCAAATGAAATAGCAACGTTTTGTTTTTTCATTCTCGTGCAGCCAACTAATGACACAATATAATCTTTATCATCATTATCGCGAATGATAATTTAACCGCAACACCACCACCACCACCACCACCAACCGAACAACAATTTTGATTATCATCATCATCATATATCATATCTACAATAATTGGATTCAAGTCATGAAAACAAAAACAAAAACAAAAAAAAATTGTCCCATAAATGATCACGATGATGATGATGATGATGGAAACAAACCAGCAAAGATTAATCAATCTGTGTGTGTGTGTGTTCAATATTCCTGTTTGTTGTTATCACTAGGATTTTTCAAAAAAAAACAAAATTCTTTCCTTTGGATTGAAAATTCTACCATTTCGTTTTTGTTGTTATTGTTGTTGTTGTTGTTGTTCATAATTATCAATCCATAAAAAAAGGACAGGAACCAAAAAAAAAAATGAACATTGAACATTGAAAACGGATATTTTCATTCATTCATTCACATGTTATGTCTACATATTTATTGCGAAACAACAAGCATAATAATAATGTTTTTTCCATGATAAAATGTGAAATCAACCAACAAACAAACAAACGCAAATATGCAAATTTCTGTTTTCTCTCTCTCTCTCTCTCTCTCTGTGTTTGATAAATTCATTTCATGTCATTGCTTATCAAACGACATTCGCATTCATTCAATAATTCATTGATCAAGGAAATATATGGACAGATTCAACAACAACAACAACAACAACAACAACAACAGAAACAACAACAACAAAATTCATGTCTTGTAAAATGGTTTCAATTTTTTTTTTATTTTCAAATTTTTTTCTCTATCTATCTATCTCTATCTCTCTATACATGACAAGTTTTTTTCTTGTTTTCATAACAAACAACATTACATGAATTATATTTTTTTTGAGCTACATAAGCTGTCTTTTTAAATGAACAACAACAACAACAAAAAAGAATCCACTACCAGTTACATAATAATAACTGAAATTTATTTCATTACATAACATTTCAAGCAAACAAAACAAAAAACAACAAACCAAAAGATTTGGTAAACAAAAAAAAAAAATATCAAAGATTAATGAATAATGGACATGCAACCATTTTTTTTTTTTTTGTTTTTGTTGACAAAATGCACAATTTTTCCTAGAAAATCAAATGAGATTTAAATGTCTTCATTATTATTATTATTATTCACAAATAAAGGTGATAATGATGATGATTAAATGGATTGATGATGATCATGATTGATCAATTTAAAGAAACAAAGAATCAAATTGAAACCGAAAAAAAAATCATGAACAACAAAAAGGCCTGAATGAATGAATTATGAAAATCCATTCACCATTCATTCATTCATTCATTCAACATAAAATGGCCATCATCATCATGATTTCATTGCATTCGGACCAACATCATTACCGGATTTAAGAAAAGCTTTTGTTTTGCTTAATAGTTTTTCATCATCAACATCATTACCATTTCCATTCCATTATCGATTTTCTTTCTCTATTTCTGTTTGTTTTGTTTTTTGGATTGATAAGAACAAAGAATCGCAAATTCAAAGCAAAATTGAATGAATGAATGACAAATGAATTTGAAGAGAAGAAAAAAAATTTCATGTTCATCCCACAATTCAGTTTAATTCACCTTCGTCATCGTTATATATTCGAATCGAATTCCAGTTCATCATTGAAATGTACCGATAGAGAGAGAGAGAGAGAAAAAAAAACAAAATACGAAAATAATTCATTCGTTAATTAATTCATCATCATCATCATTGTATAATGTGCGTGCGTGCTTGTTCGAGTGTATTAATAGAATTATCAAAAAAACACTGAAAAACACAGCAAAACATTGCATTTTGCACAAAAAAGTAATGAAAAATTTTCTTTTTCAACAATCTAAAATCAGAAAAAAAAACAAAAACGATAAAAACGACAAAATCGGAAAAATGATAACAAACGATTGACAAACAAACAAACAAACGACAAAAAAAACTTACATTCAATTGACGTAGTTGATTTGATGTGTGTGATGGTGAAAAATCTATTTCGTCTTTCTCTTTAAACGAGAAACAAACTAAGAATTCAAATTCAATTTGATGACAGAAAAAAAAATGATTTACACACACACACACAAAAAAACACCTGTGCTGCAGCAAACACACACACACAAACGAATGGATGGATGGATAAAAAAAAATTAATTGGATTTAATCAATGAAATAATGATGTTGATAAGATAATCAAATAACCGATTGATCATGTTGTTGCAAAACAACGCTACAGATTATCATCGATTGTCAAATGTCGATGTGATAATTGGATTTACAAGAATTTTTATTTTTCCTGTTGTTTTTCGCTATGTTATCATTGATGTTGTTGATGATTAAATCTGACACACAAACACAATAAACAAACAAACAAACAAACAACACGTGTGTGTGTGTGTGCGTATGTGAATAATTCCAATTCCAACGATTTCAATGACAAAAAAAACAGCGAAAAATTTTTTTTTTTTTGATTCAATTTGATTGGACAATTCAAAATCCAATTGCTATAAAAAAAATTGGATTGATTTTGTTGTTGTTGTTGTTGAATAAATTATTGAATTAATCAAATCAAATCAAATCGATTCGAATCAAATTGAATCGATGACGTTTTTTTTTCATTTGTTGTTATTATATTAATCACAATCAATCAATCAATCAACATCGATATTTTCAAGAGAAACAAAATCCCATTATTATTACCACTACTTAATAATGGCTGGCCATACACCACATATACGTCACAAATGAACGAATGTGAAGGAAATGGAATTTTTTCACACAAAACACAAGAAATTTTTAAAATTTTACAAATGAAAAATGAAATTCAATCACATCAATGATGAATTTATTATTATATATCATCGAAATGAATTTCAACTATTTTCACGTTAAAACACACACACATGAACATATAAAAATAACACATTCGAAGAAAAGTAGAAATAGCGACTGTTATAAAAAATTTATTTATGTCATTTCAGCAGCATTTTCTGTTCATCATTTGAAGTTGCATCTGTGTTTATTATTTCGAAATTTTTTTTCTTCTTCTCAATAAAAATTAATAACGACGATGATGATGATGGCAATGGTGATATTTAAAAAAAAACTCGTATTATATAATCCATGAACCACATACACTAACACATGGACAAGATTGGAATAAATGAAAAGAACAAGGTTCGTTGTTTTTTGTTGTTGTTGTTACAAAGATACAATTATTGCGTAATAATCATTTACGATGATGATAAAAAGACAAAACTTTTTTTTTTTTTTGTTGTTGTTGTTGCTGTTTCAGGATCGTTTTAGCAGGTATTTTTTTTTCTCTCTACCAGAATAAATCACCAAAAATGAAGAAATTTTTTTCATCACGTGAATTTGATGAATTTGCTGGTTTTCAGATCATAAATAATGCGTTGTTGTTTGGCTGATGATGATGATGATGATAAGTTTTTTTTTTTTGGTTCATTGAATTTGCTGATTCATCATCTGAATGATGATGATGATGAATAACAATATTTTTTTTTTTTTTTGATTACAAATTTAATTCAAATTTTGTTGAAATTTAATGAATTTTGAATGGAAATTTGATCTGGAAAACAGATATCTAAGCAATGGCAAAATTTCTTTTTTTTTTCTTTATCAAAACATCACTTGTTGTTGTTGTTGTTGTTGTCGGTGATTGATTTATTGAATTTGATTTATAATGATCGATGTAGCACACACAAAACACATCAAATAGGCACGATAATTATTATTTTTTTTTAAAGGAAAACTTCAATAAACAGACGGAAACGGAAACTGATTATTATCAATGTTGTTGTAGTAGTAGTCGTTGTTGATTCACTTTGATAAAATTTCATTAATTTTTTTTTTCTTTGATTCTGAATGTTGTGTGTTTGTTGTTGTTGTTGTTCAATGAATTCATTTTACCCGCGCTTTATTCGTTGTTTGGTTTTTTTTTTTTGTTTTGTTTTGTTTTGTTTTGTTGCAACCTTTTGTGTGTTTATCGACACACACACGTCCGTCGACAACAGCAGACAAATAATTTGTGTGTCCATAACAAAATGTATGTGTGTGTTTTGGTTCGATGTTAATATGTGAACCACTACTACTTAATCTTCTTGTTCTGATTTTGAATTTAGCTAGAAGCATACAATATAGTGTGATGTTGATGAAAAAAAATAAAAACAAAAAATTTTTTTTAGAGCGAAAATTAACTTTTCAATTGTTTTCAATGCTACTACGGTAAACATTATTTTTTTTTTTCTCTTCACATTCGACAATACCACTATCCATTTGTTATATAGGAGCATTAGAATTAGTTTGTGTTTATACAAACGAAATGAATTCTTTTGTTCTTTTGTGTGGTATGGATGATAGCAGCAGCAGCAGCAATGTGAAACCATTGGTTTGACGAAAGTAGCGCCACCTAGATTGATATTCGAAATTTTTCTTTCTTCTCCGTAAAAGAAGAATCATATGTTTGTTTTGTTTCAATTTTTTTTTTATACATATCCAATTTATGTTTTCAAGAAAGAATAAAAACGAAAATTTAATCAATTTCAATTTCAAAATCCATCATCTCGAGATAATGATCAGATATTTTTTTTCTGCTTGGAATCAATTTCCGAACGAAACGAAAAATTTATGCGCATATTATGGGAAAAATACCGGAAGTTTTTTCATTTCGAATCGATTAAATATCAACAAACATCTTGAACAGACGTATAGAGACAGAATATATGAAAAATGATGTTGATGAATCGATTCATCGATTGATTACAAATTTATCAATCTGGTAATGTGAAATTTTTTTTTTTTTATAATTTTAAATTTGAATTTCCATCTTTCTTTCCAGTTTGGCACTTTTCATCATCATTATAAAATCGAAAACATAACCAATAAAAAACATTTGGTGATAAAGACCTCATTCAACGCAGTTTGATGTCAATGTTATTGTTGTTGTTGTTGTTGTTGGAATTAACAATTTATCTATACTTTCAGTGATGTTTTCATATTACGCAGTTTTTTTTCTGGTTCCCAAATGGGAAATTATCCGCAACAAAACAACAAAATTAAACCGAATAATAATGATGATGATGAAGAGAAAAAAAACTTTTTTCGGCCTGGTAATTACCGCTGCTGTCCATAACATCAACATTGGCTGATAATAATAATGATGATGATGGCCAAATGATGGATTTTTTTCTGTAGTTGAAAAAAAGAAATTCAAAGAAACTGGACTGAACAAAAAATTACAAGTAAAACGAAAATTCTCAACAAAATTCTCACGTAGATGTCAATGTTGATGACAAAAAAAAACACGAAAGAATGAGACAAACAAATTTTCTCCATCTTCATTATCATCATCATCATCATCATCATTAAGTTTGAATTAATAATTAAATTCTCAAAAAAACAAACAAACAAAAACAACGAAATTCCAACTACAGCAAACATCTGCAACTATTTTCAAAAGGAACATACCCGATAACAATAATTTATCAATTTTTCCCGTCTCCATCATCATCGTAAAAAAAAGAACAATCCATTTCAATCAATCATTGATCAATCGTCGATTGAATTGAATATAAAATAATGATTTTGATTTGAATCAAAATCCAAATGATTGATCGATTGATTGATTCACTCATATTATCCATTCATTCATTCATTCATTTTCTTTATTCAAATTATTTGTTTTTCCATTTCATGTATGCAAAACTGTTTTTCAAGGACAAACGTTTTTTGTTTGTTTGATTTTACTTTTCTCTACTTTACATATTCATCAATTTATTTTTTCTGTGTGTGTGTTGTGTGTGTGTGGGTGTGCGTGTTTTTTTTTTGTTTCAAATAACTAACCCTTTTTCCCTGTGATGCTTCAATCTAATCATCATCATCATCATCATCATTCATGGAGCAAATATAAATCGTAATCAATCATTTGGCCATACACGTGAGTAGAATTTTTCTCTTCATTGTTCCACTTTTATTACATATATATGACTATCTATTTGTATGTTTAAATGATGTCGTTGTTTACTATTATCGATCGATCAAACAACAGCAAAATAATCAAATTGAACGATTATAGATTGATAATAGATGTATGTACAGGTGTGTTGCATTTAATGAAACAAACAAACAAATAGACAAACTTTTCATCTTATTATCTAACTCTACATAGAGTTTTTTTTTATTTATTATCATTAAAATTGAATCAAAACAAATCAAATCAGATAAAAAAAACAATGACAACAACAACAACAACAACAACAAAATGATAAAAGTTTCTTTTTTTTCCACCAATCTCAATATTCATTTTTTTTTTCATTGCATTCTTTTCGTATTTGTCAATTTAAATTTTTCACATTCATTTCTTGTTTGTTTGTTTGTTTTCCCATTTCAATTCAATTTCATTCAATTCAATTCAATTTTTTCGTTACATAAAAAAAACAAACGAACGAAATAAAAGAGAAAGAGAAAGAAAAACAAAACAGTGAGAGCAAAGACGAGAAATATTTCCAAATACCAAATTCAATTGAATTTCAAATTTCAATTTTTTTTACTTCTTCTTCTCACTACTTTTTTTGTTTTGTTTTGCTTCTCAAAAAGCAAAAAAAAAAATTTTACATTCATTTCGAATAAACGAAATAAAATAATGAAAAATAATCATAAGTGCACCATTGCAAAGAAATGTGAACGAGAACGAGAACGAGAGAGAGAGAGAAACGTTTTTGAAAGTTTTTTTTCCATTCTTTTTTTCGAATACAATCGATCGATCGATGAACACACACACACACACACATACACACAACTTTAAAGGCAGCCAAACAGCTTTAATAGAAAAAAAAATTGAAAGAGCAAGAAAAATTGAAATAAAAAGTTTCAAAATATATGATGATGATGATGATGATGTGGGAATCCATAATAATAATAATAATAATGATAAAGTAATGAAAAACAAAACAGAAAAAAAATGAGAACAAAAAAAATGAAAAAGAAAGAAGAAGAAAAACCTATGCAATTTTGTTCTTTCTCGTTTTTATGCTGCTGCTGTTGCTGAGAATTTAAAATTTTTCCATTCTCTCTCTCTTTATCTT